TCGCTAGTCACCAATGCCGCGTTTGAAATTGCGTTTCACTGTTTAACTGTTTTGAGTCTGCTAAAAAGCCGGCCTGCTAAAATCCCTTGCAACGAATTAAGGGACAGTAGGAACATCGAGCAGAGGGATATAGGGCATATGAAAAAATAAGTTTTTTGTAGCGGTTTTAAAATTTCAGGAAACAGATTTGGAAAAAAGAGCTCTTCTTTTAAGTTCAAGAATAATGAATGAGCAAAATGACCACACATCATAGACTTCTTGTTCTGATGAGAAAACCATGATTTTGTTTGCGGCTTTTTTGCTCATTCATTAGTTTGTTCCCAGGGGTAGAGCTCTTTTCTCGAAAAATTGTTCGCTAAAGCTTACCACCGCTACGGCAAGTGATTATTTTCAAACGCTCTATTCAATATGCTGAATAACAAACGGCTTTCGAAACAAACGATTTCCTAACAAAGTGCTTTACTGAAAACTATTCATCACTAGCGCAAAATTGATCACGCAATTCACATATTTTGCGTTAATTAATACTTTTGGACACTTATTTATCGTATTGGAGCTTCGTTGTTTAATTGTACGCTATAAATTTTCTTTCTTCAGAATATTTCTCACTCTTCACACAGTACTTCAAACTATCGGTTTCTGTCTATTTTTGAGAATTTAAAATTTTTTTGAGTACTTTCCAGAGACTTTTGAAGTTTTTCGTTTTTTTTTCTAGTTTAGAGAAAAATTTCCCGTCTTCTCAATTTTTTTAGTAAAAAATTCAATTTTTTAAAATTATTCTACTGTAAAGAGTTCTCAATTTTTCGATGGAGAATGAATTTTAAGTAAATATTGCATAATTGGTCGCGTCATTTTGTTCGGTTGACAAAAAATTAAGTACGCAATTGACCCTGTCATCCGTAGGGTTAAAAGTGTCCATCTTACCTAGAAGGTGAAGGTTAGTTCGCTCAAAAATTTTTAAGGATTGAAACAAATTACTGCGGCTGTTTAACTTTTTAACCCAACTTGTTTTTTGTTTCAGGCTTTTGTAACCCAAATTTTTCTGTTGTTGTTTTTAAACCATGTTGTTTTTGTAGTTTACCGGTTTTAAGTCTGTAACAAGAGGCTAGTAGTGGTAAAATTGACATAATTTTGTGCTAAAAAGAAGGTAATTTCAAGGGGGGACCCTTCGAGCAAATTTTACCCTTCAAGGGGGGACCCTTCGAGCAAGAATTGGAGTGCTTCAGCAGTGAGTTCAACATCAACATTTGAGATCCAACAGCTAATGGCTGCTACGTTTAGGTTTAATAAACAATAGGCAATTTTTTTTGTGGATGGCTAATAGCTAGGACATAGTTCGCAATTTTCTCAAGCTGGTATATTGGAATTCAGAAACCAAAAAACTACACGGATATCGTAATCAACAAATTGCATATATCAACAACGATAGCCAGTTACTGTGCAAGTAGCGCGTGGTGTGATAAAAGGATATGAACGCAAAACTAGAGCTTAGGCAGTCATAGTAAAGTACACAATTTGAAAAACAATTTTTGAAGAAAAATTACTAGAAAAACACAAAAAAAAAATCGAAAGTTTTTTCAAATTTTTTTGCAGTTGTTTGAATTGCTAAAGTTTTTGATTCCAAAAAGAGGCTAAAATACTCGAAAAATTATTTGCACTTGATTAAAACTAAACTTTACGGCCTACATTAGGCTATTGTAAGCTTTTAAGTCATTAAAATAAGCTATTAAGCTATTGCAAGCCTGCTCGTTTTTTCGCTTGAAATGAAACAAAAAACCAAAAATTTCAAACGTTTTTCTTGTCACAAGGAAAATTTTCTTAACATATTTTTAAATCGTTCAAATCACGACCAAAAATTCTATAATATGATATATCACTCAACTCTCTCCTATGATTATTTGGGGAAGCTTATTTTGTTTGGAAAAAAAGAAAAAAAAGTAGAAAAAACTAAAACATACACCGAATACAAAATTTCTCCGCATTTTTCAAATGGTCGCAACAAAAATTTGATGTTTTTTATTTAATGATGTTTTTTTATTTGATTTTTAAAAATGATGTTTTTTACTAAAAAATATTAGGTCAGCTGTTAAAACGGTAAAATTGGCTTTATTTGTAAAGGAGGCTGTTCTAATAATGGGAGAAATTTCGAGCATCGCAACAATCAATCTTTGCCAAAAATGGTTTAAAATATACAGTTCTAGAACAAACAGGAAGTGAGAAAAATCCAAGGAGAGAACTTTATTGCGATGAGCTACAGTCACTGGTCATAGAAAATACAGCTTTTTGATTCCAACGAGCATTATGAACATATCTATTTTTCATGTTCTTGTCGTGTTGCTTGCGGCTATTGAAGATATAGGATTGAAATTTTGACAAGCGCTAGAAAAAATTTTTTGAGAGAACTTAACCGGGCAGAAGTTTGAGAAATCTTGTTTCGAACGTGTAAATTACCAGTATATCATATTTAGATATAGAAGTCTTCTTGCTGTGGAAACTTGCTTGCAAATAATGAGAATTTGAACTTAAATTTTTGGCTCAATTTTGTTCTTTGGGAACCTGATGAGCTTGACTCACTCTTTAAGTCGCCGAAAAACGACAGAAAAAATTTTTAAAATACCTAGTATGACGTCCAAAAACGGTCATTACTGTTTTGACGATACAGGCAGTAAGACTTCTAATGAGCTTATACCAGAAAGTTTGACAAAGTTTGAAGAAAATATAAGTTCTGGTGAAAATGCTGTGCATAAATTGGAGTAATGTTTTCCAAATTTTTGCTGGCTTTTTTGTTGGCTTATTTCGATCATCAACCCAAAATTATTCAATCACATTGAGCCGTTTTTTGGATGCCTATCAGATAAAGAATAAATCAAAATCATCAACTTCGCAAACAAACAATTTCAGGCCAGATAAAGAGTAAATCAAAATCACCAACTTCGCACTCCTTGTTATGTTTGCGAGGATGTTTCCACAGCAAAACTTGGACGGAGTGGGAAACAAATATGGCGTAGGGCGTGTTTGTTTCCGACCAATTTTAATAAAAATTAAAAAATTAGAAGTCAAATGCTGCATCAAAAATAAGCGCCATTAGTTCAAAATGAAATACCAAAAATCAACAACATTCTCTTTAAATTGAAAGATCCAAAAACATGTCAGTTTTATATTTTATCAGTTATTTTAGATGCATATTTTTGCTCAGAGCCTAGCATTGCCAACAGTTTTTTCCAATAGATTACTTATAATTACTTTTGAACACAGAGGAGAAGTTTCACTTCGCATGCACAATTAAATCTATGACCGATAAAGCTATTAGGAAAAATTAAATGTGTAAAACTTTGAGTGTCCAAATTTTTTTTAAGTGACGCACGCCAATTATGAGTCTGCATAATTGCTAAGTGACGCAAGCCAATTATGACGCATTAGCAGTACCAGTCAATATAAAAAAAAGAAATCCAGCTAACATGCCTCAATCTATAGAGAAGACGCATTTTAACTATTATACGATAAAGTTCCTTAAAAACATTCGACCCTGCCCAGGTTGGAACCCTCTTATTTTGTTGCGGGTCTCCTTCCCTTCCCCTACACTACAGATCCATGATACCTTGAAGCAGAAATGCTATTTGTAACATAAGTCTGTGTTAATATCCTTAGCATCGTCTGTTTTTAATAGCTGGTTCTTGATCAAAATGAACACTAACTTTTACGACTTAGGTTGGAAAAAATGAGTGAGTACAAGGTTCAAAATGCCCAATAAATGTTTTATCTGAAGTAGCAGATCTGAAATCAGAGATACAGTTGAACATCGCAAATAAAAGCAAAAACCGGCACAAATAACAGGCAAAAAAAGTCTTCTGAGCAGAATCTTCGAAAAAATGAAAAAACCGACTCCGGGATTCGAACGACCGTCCTCTAGCTTTCAAGTAAAAAATGTAATAAAACACATGCTACTAATTTTCTCGCTAATTTGAACAGACACTTAAAACAAAACTGTGCGGCTTAGGTTGAAAAAAGCAACACGTTATGACTCTATAAAATTGAATCTGTATCAAAATTGCATTTGTATCAAAACAGAATCAACGTTTTCAACCAAAACCTACTTACGAAATGTACCAGTGCTCCTGGATCGCTTAATACACATCTTGCTCTGGCAATTAGAAAATTTGCCAATCACAATTCGTAACAGGTGACAGTTCGTAACAAGCGACAAATCCTAACAAGGCATTGGCAATTAAAATACGCTTGCTCCCCTGCGCTTACATACAGCATGAGAAGAATATTGCGTCTGAATCAGTGTTCCTCGTTTAATCTACTGATACGAATTGGCCTTTGATACGAAGTGTGACTGTTACGAATTGTCGCCTGCTACGAATTGTTGCCTCACAGTTTTCTATGTTGCTCCAATTTTCGAAATTAAATCTTTTTGACGCGCTAAAGGTTTTTTTCGATCAACAGATGTCAATCAACAAAAATTGTTCAAACGGAAAAAAAACCTTTTAGTTTGTAATAAAATTTTTATTTCGAAAGTTGGAGCAACATAGAAAAAGTGAGCCGACCATTCGTAACAGTCGACAATTCGTAACAGTCGACAATTCGTAACAGTCGACAATTCGTAGCAAACGACAATTCGTATCAGTAGATTACGCGAGGTACACTGATTCACGCTCAATATTGCTCTCGTGCCGGATGTAAGCGCAGCGGAGCAAGCTTATTTTACTTCCCAATACCTTGTTACGAATTGATGCTTGTTACAACATGTCGCCTGTTACCAATTGTGCTACCATAGAAAACAGTCATGGAATTTCTCCGACAAAATTTTTCTAAGATAAATCTGTATTCCAAAAAATTTATCCTGATCGTCGAAACTTGCCTGTAGAAAGAAGCCATAGCTCCTAGACATATTCATCGCTTAATTTACAAGTAAACTAGCAAGTTGCGTCAAAGACTGGGGCTCATTTCAACGACTTTTATTGCAAGCAAGAGCAGAAATAAGTTATTGGAAAAGATAAGTTTACTTTAAGTATGATCAAACCTAAAATTCAAACGAAACACTTAAACTGCACAATTTGCTTTGATAATGACAATTGTATTCAAAATTAACAAAATCTATTTTGCGAATTTAAACAAAAATCTTTTTCGATTTTCAGTTTTTCTTTCAAGTTTTGTTGAGTTTTAGCTTTAAATGATAATATGTACGGCACTCTGTTTCTTTTTGTCGACGGTGGATTTCGTCGACCCATTGATCAAATCACGAAGACTGTTTACCATTCGTTTTCGGTGTTTGGCCGAGCCAATTCCGAGCAGTTCTAGCGAACTCAGAGTGGAGCCAAAGAGGTCCTTGACGTACACCAAATTCCTCGAGTAGAACAGATTAGTGTACTGTCCTAGTTTCAAGCTGACGAGCCATTCTTCTACTGTGGCGTTTGGTGTTACTCTGGCTCGTCTGAGGGGCTTCCCTTCCCCACCGGGTTTGAGAGTTGAGAGGTGGGTTTGGTTTGGTGACGTTTGTTGGTTGTGGAGGTCTAGTCCTGCCGGGTAGTAGGCACTTAGGGGTATGTATTGACCCGGACCCATTTCTCTATTGCTCAATGCTGCACTTTGCAGGGGCGCGTAGCTTGTTCTGAAAAAAAAACATCTTAGTTTTCGATTTTGTCAAAAATTTGAATGAAGCTGAGAGCACTTAAAATTTCTAGCGACCAATGAATTTTATTTTCCTGCATTTTATTGAATTGCGACCAATTAAACTATTTCAAATTGAGCCAACACTCAGCTTTCTCGGGATAAGCTTAAGCTTTGCCAGATCTATCTAACAATCTCCCCCTCCCCCCTTTCAGAAAAAAAGGGGGGTTGTTAAGTAGATTAAGTCAGAATGCTGCAAAATTCTAATTCTCAATACAAAGCTCTAGCGCTAATTAACTGTATTTATTCATAGGGGTGGAGATTTTCAAGTAGATACCATAGCGGGGTTATTGTTAAGTAAATCCGCTTGCCAACACAAGATATCGGCCACTTACAGTAGCGTGCCGAGGGGGGGGGGGGGTTTCGGTGCCCTCAATTCTGGCTGCCAAAATTTTCCAAAGGGTCCCCCTTTGGTACAACTTTATGGCATCCATTTTTCGGTGAACAACTTCAAAATTTTTCTAAAGGCGCCTTTGGCGCCAATATGACTAATTTAAAGAGGAGAGCGCGCAAAAAAAACCACCATTTTTGGTAAACATTTTCCAAAAAGTGCCTAAAAACGCCTTTTTTGCCTGTTTTTCAAAAACTATGGTCCTTATACTATACTATTTTAGGAGAGCTCGGAAAATCAAATTAGTCTACCTAAAAAAGGTGACAAAATTTTTCGAAAAACCGCCCCCACCTAGAAAAATTTCTGTGCACGCCACTGGCCACTTAGATTTTTTTTCAAGGTGACAGTGATATAAGACGCATGTTATTTTTGGAATAACTAATTTGTGTTGTCCGATACATTTTGCGTGAACAATGATGGCTCCATTTATAGCTGGTATTTTACAGTGACTTTTCATGTTCTTTTTCTGTCTGGCGCATTTGCTAATATTATGATAAACGACGCTTCACTTTTCAAAAAACACCTTCTAAACGCAACTCAAGCTCTTCGAAAACTGTTAAGCTAATCTGCTCGTGTAGATAAATTTGTGAATATTTAGTCAAGTATGTGATTAAAATTAAAATCTTGACAAATTGAACAGCAATTAGTCAGTGGGAGTCTTTGTGTACCGTTTACTGCTGAGTAATGACAAGAAGGTCTCAGCAAGCGATAGATTTCCTCGACGCTTCAAAGTGCCATTTATGTTCTCTCTTTGCTAATTTAGAATAACTGACGTTGTTTTCAAAGTAAAATGCAGCCGCCGTGTCGATTTGAAAAACAAAGCGTCATCCTTCGATTATTGCGCTGTTTATTGAAACATGAGACATATCGATGCCATTGAATAGTCTAAAAATTCAAGTTCAAGGGAAAATTAAAGCCATAGACAAGACTGCTCGTATATCAGGGCAAAGCCCTGAATGTTCCGACTGTCCCTTAATTCGGTGCTAGGTATTTTAGCAGGCCAGTTTTTTAGCAGACCGGTTTTTTAGCAGACTCAAAACAGTAAAACAGTGAAAACGCAACTTCAAACGCGGCATTGGCGATTAGCGATCGCTTGCTCCGCTGCGCAAACATGCGACACGAGGGTCATTGAGCGCGTAAATCTGTGTTTTGCGGTGGCGTCCCTCATGCTGGAGGGACCGAATGCTTAAAAATTATTTTAACTTATTTTCAGCCAATCAGAATTGAGTATTCAAAATCTCAAAATTAATCATAAAAATCTCAAAGGGGGCTTAGGAACTTAGACGACAGGAAATTAGACGGTCAGAAAATAACGGAATTTAGACAATAACTTGCGTGCAAATTGCGTAAAACTTGTTTACAGACTTAAATGATCTTTTAGCAGAGTAAGTACTGGTTGTCCAATTTAGACAATAACATGCGTGCAAATTGCGTGAATTTTGCTTACAGACTTAAATTAACCTTTGGCTGAGTAAATACTGGTTGTCCGTAAATTCCTTTTCTTTACGATCGTCTAATTTGCTTGTCGTCTAATTTCCTAGTCCCAATCTCAAAGTAAGCAAATAAATTCAGGCCATTAGTGTTAATATTGACCGATTAGATAATAAGCAGATGAGTTTTCAAAAATTGCCGGATCGAAGGCGGATTGGAACAAATTTGATATTTCAAGGATACTGATTTACGAAAAATGGAAAATCAAAAAACAAAACTTATTACATCTGCACGAATTGTACAGCAAATCTTTCCGCTGATTTAAAACATTTTCTGTTAATACTGACTTCGATTTTGTGAGAAAGGCAATAAGCGAACGCTTAGCGATTTTGATTGGTTGAAATTTTTCAAGCATTCGGTCCTTCCAGCATGAGAACAGTCCCCGTGCTTTGCCGCTTATTCAGACTATTCTGTTTTTGAAGTTGATAGTTTTGTTTACAAGTCGAGAGATAATTTTCTTAATTGAGAAAGCTTCACCCAAGACTGAGCGTACTATTATGCCTGTCAATCAATTATGCGTCAATTTTGTTGCATTGGTCTGCTAAAAGACTCATTTTTCACTTTTTATGCTAAAAAATTGGTCTGCTAAACGATCGGTCTCCCCTTAATTCAAATCGAATAGTTTTTGGGAAAAGAAAATATTGAAAACCTATGAATTTTAGACAATATCAAAGTATAAAATTTTGAGTAGTACGAAATTAATACAACCAATAAGCTAGCCTCAATTCAATTTTGAACGATTTTGTTGATCGGGATAATTTGCCACGCATTAGTAATTCGCGTTACGCTCTCAGCATTATGAACAAACTTTTCAAAGCGCGCATAATTTAGTCGAGAACATGGCCACTTTGGCAATTTTGAAACCCCCAAAACTTAACAGTAAATGATCGGCGGTAAAAAAAATTTTTTGAATTTGAACTCAGGTCGATATCTTCAATAGGGTAAAAAAAATTTGTTGAAAACTATTATTTTGATCGGCGAAAATTGACTGAATAAAAAACCACACCGAGCATAAATATTCCGTTTTCTTCGAAAGTCGGAACAAAAAAACCACACCAAGCATAAATACTCCTCACTTTCTTCGAAAGTCAGAACAATAATGTAAATCCAATTTCACCTAGTGTAATTCTAGGTTTACTCTACTCTAATACTTAGATTTAACGTAATTGATACCTTGTTATGAAATAAAACTTCTCAACGTTTTAAAAAAAATTTTTTCAGGATAAATTGCAAATTCAGTTTTAGCTAGCGTAATAGTACGTTTACTCTTTTAATTAGATTTGAAGATATTGATCTCCTGTTATGAAAAAAAAAACTTTTCAACTTCTTTAAACTGTTTGTTTTTCAGGAACAACAGAATTTGTTAAAGTGTAGTTAAAACTCACTCTACAGCGTATTGTTCGTTCAGCAGACTCGTATTGCGCACCACCTTCTCAAGCGTCTCCCTCAGTTGGGCAAAAGAAGGTCGCTGAGTATGCTCCTGACTCAAACAGTGGCGGATGACGTCATAGAGGAACTGGGGACAGGATGAAGTTTCGCCGCTGGAGGGCGAAGTGCCATTACTCATGCTTAGCGAGGAGTTCGAACTAGCTGCACATTTATTAGCAGGCTAAAATGAAAATTTTTTAGAAGCCTGAATATAATATATTGGAGGGCTAACTTAGGAAAGCATAATACTTTTCTGTAGCTTGTCACTAGTTAATTTTGAATCAGTTAGTTTTTTTTGCATCACACAAAAGGCTTACTAATTAACTTCCGTCAAAAAGCTTTGATTACCTCCTCGGCCAACTTGTGAGCATTCGGTCCATTGGTACTGTCTGTTTGCGGAAACTGCTGATTTTGGGCTTTGCTATTAGCATTCATGGCATCCCAGCTAGCCGATTGCGAGTTAAGCACTTCGTACATGAGAACTCCGAAGCTATACACGTCACTATGCGGAGAATAAAGGCCATGGGAAATCACCTAAAAATTATCCGAATTAATTTCATCATGATTCGCAAACCTTTTTGACTTGTTCATTTTGCTCAAAATTTATGATTTTGAAGCATGACCGAACTGATTTAAAAAAAACTATTTTCAGTATGAAGCTACAAAATGGAAAAATGAAAAGAAAGCTTCTGCGTGGAAACAAAAATCATATACAAAATATTTCATTTCTCAAACTAAGGTCTTTCATGACCGCTTTTGACCGTGATTTCACATGATATAAATAAGTGACGGTGAAAAAATTATGCAATGAATAAATGCATGGCCATTTATGTATGTCCGTTTGAATGTGTACCTCGGGTGCCATCCATGTCATGAGAAGAGAGAAGAGATGTGGTTTGGCGCCAGCGGCCTCTTCGTGGTCCAGAAGGGCTCGCATCTCGAAGCCGGAGATCTTGGGGACTCCAGTTCCAGTCAGAAGTACGTTGGAACATGTCAGCACCTGAACAAAACAAGAAGTTAATAAATTAGTTGTCGATATTTTTCATGTTTCCCGCGTGCCTGTATCTAATCAGTTTTTACAGGTAAATTTGATGTAAACATTTTTAACCTAAATTTTTTTGGATAATTCTCTCACTTATTTTGAGCCCTATGGGTTCATTATGAAATTGGTTCAAATATTTTATCGAAGTCATTGACATTAATTTAAATTCAGTCGATATGTGCAAATGCAGGAAAAAATGCGTCAGAATAGTGAATATATTTATTTTTTTTCGCAAAGGCTGTCCCAGTTTTAAAACTTCTGAACAAATAAGTAAACGTTTGATGTCAATTTTTCAATGCAAGTTATTTCATCAAAAAATGACACCGATTCATAAATTGAACATTCGGTCCCAATATAATTTTTTGCTTCTATTTTAAGTCATTCTGTGACCCAATTAATTTTTTTCATCTCATAATTTTAGAATTTTCTGTCCCGACTCTCAACTGGGGCATAACTTTACATCAGTCGGACCCTATTTCTAATCAGACGATTGATGGAAAGAAGCCCCACGCGGTTAGATTGTGGGGCACAAAATAAGCGGATTTGATTAGAATCTAAGGCGATGCAATTAGCTCTCCCTCCCTGCGCTACCCAAAGCAGGGAGACATTATAATAGCTCACTGTACTGGGGGATAAAAGAGTAGGGTATCATGTCAAAATATGTCATAATAGCCCACTTCGATAATCATAATCTACAGAACAAGAAGTGTTCTCTTTTCTTGGGTCATACTACATAGACAGCAGTTGGAAAGATTAAACCTCTAAATGAACAAAACGAAAGAAATTCGCGCTTGATCAAATTCTGAACAAATTTGATCAAATTCTGAATAAAATAAAAATTCTTGATTTCTAATACTAACGAAATACAAAACCTTGCTTTTTAAAACATCGAGGACCAAAAATATTAGCAAAAAAATGAGATATCAAAAATCAAACATGGAAAATGTATGTTACGGATTCCAAATCACTTGGAAACAAATTATCTTCAAGTGAGTTTATATAGTATTTATCAACTGCAGATGCGCACCGATGCTTATGAGGCGTGGCAGTCCCCTCATTTTATAGGTATGAAGGATTAGCTTGAGCTGCTAGAAGAAGTTAAATACTCCAAAAGTGCCATAAAAACAGCAAAGAAGAGTCCTCCTTTCCGATGGGCGTTAACTTCAGAATTCTCTGCCGTAGGCATTTGCTATTACAATAAATCCTATCTTTCAGGGTAATTTTCAATACTTTCAAAGGTTTGATTCGAATTTTTTTTTTCGAAATATTTCCTGCTAGAGAAAATGACATCAAAATTATCGAGAACTTGAGGGAAAATTTTGATTAGAATATCCGACACTCGATTCATTACTTGAAATGTCACTTTCCTTGAATTCAGTAAAAAGAGACATTTTTCGAAAGTTTTGATATGTTATTTTTTCTTTCCGATCCCCGTCGGTTCTAATTTGATGTTTTTTTTTCTTTCCGATCCCCGTCTGTTTTGTCTCATTAAGATTTGGATTTTGCGGTTTTTCTTTAATTATACTGACCTTGTGAACATATCCGAGTTCTGCAAGGTATTGCATTCCACATGCTATGCCCCTCAGAATGTGCACTAGTTGCATGAGGGAAAACTGCATCGGGTTCTCACGGAGCACCGCGTCCAGAGGTCCTTGGGAGACAGACTCCACGCAAACTACCGCCTCTGAGGGTCGCAACATCGTCCCGTGGAGCATCTGGACGTTCGGGTGGTAGAACTGAACTAGTGTCGACATCTCGACGAAGAAAAGCCGAAGAGCGTCCGGGTCATTATCCGAGACGGATTTCACGATCACTCCGCACGACTGGTTGTCCAGAGTAGAGAGAGTCGCTTTTTGCATGAGGCAACTTGTGTTTAAATTGGAGAAACAACCACCTGAACAAAACAGTGAATCACGTGATCATATTGATTTTTTTCAGGTCAAAACACAAAATTTACGGGCCATCTTTTTGATATGCAATTGGTTAAGCTTCGTTTCGAGCTCTATCCAACTTCAATTTAATCAGTACTCTTGAAAAAAATGTATGCATCATTTTCGTTTGCTTACCAAATACCGGTAGATGCATAATTCCAATGATTTATAGAAATCTCATTTTATAACTCTAAACCAAGGTTTAGCTTATGCTTATACTTCTTGCATCGTTTTATTATCTATCAATTCGTTAAAAAACGTTATTTGTTCTTAAAAAGTAGTCATAATTTTCATTTACACACGAATACTCGAAAATGTGAATCAACAAAAAATAACATAAATTTTGAGAAGCTATTTAAAAAAAACTGATAGATATTCAAGCAACTCTTGTTTCCCATCATTAAAATAGTCAGCATAATGAAACAGAAAAGGAGACATGTGTAATTGGCTGTAGCGACTATAGTTAAGTAGATTTAGCAAAATGGAAAAAATCATTGAAATAGTTCCCGCTTTTTCATCAGATGAAAAAAGACAATCATTGATTTTGATAAAAGAGCTAAAACAAATCAATCATATCTTATTCCTATGAAAGCAATAAAAAAGCGCCGCAACGTTGCATGTAAGAAAAATGTGTAACGAAGTACATAAAATCGCAGAGGGAGTTAACATTCATCTACAAATTTATCACCTTTTTTCGTATTCCCTGCATCAGATCGAAGTGCAACATAAATGAGATCGCTGCTGACATCAGCGGTTCATAAAACTCGAAAGGGTCGTCCAATTACTATTCATGTTTTATGATGAAATCTTCCGCAAAACAATTCATACAAAATCTGTTCATTCTCAAATCAAGCTGCAACGGCTTTTAAAATGATGAACCCGTGATAAAAAAAAACCGATTAAAACATCATAAATGCTTTTTTGACCTCGAACAAACTGAGTTCATTACTAAGCATCACATCACTTGATTCTAGCAACAATGAGATTTAATAGACGTCAATGAAATTGAAGATAAAAATCATTATTTTGCAATTCCTAGAAGCAGTGTTTTAATCCTGAAGGTTCATAGCTGAGAATTTTTTACACGACCAATGCGGACAAAAACAAACAATTTAGGCATCTAGTTTCAATTACTAAGAAAACATCTGAAATGGAGTGTGATTTAGTGGAAAATAAATTACGACCAAAAGCATACACATTTTTATTGCGAAATAAGAAGGACGGGGTGGGGGCAATATCTCAATACAGCAGTATAGGTCTAACGTAAATCTAAAAACGTGTACCCAGCCTTTAAATTTAATTAAATTAAATCAATCTAAATTTTTATGCTTGTGATTCTTTTCAAACGCATTTGAGCGGAACCGAAAAAAATAGTGATAAAATTATCTGATGATACAGACAATCACTAAATATTATACCGACATTGAGCGGGCTATTACTTCGAGTAGAGCCCCAGGCCTGTTTCTAGACTGGTAATTCGATTAAGATATGCACGTAACACAATCCAGCGGGCACATGTTAAATATGCCCCACTGCAAACTCAATTAAAACTGCCCCTGATTTGAAAAGACAGCATAGTCCCCGTTAACTCTCAAAGGACATCAGAGGGACGTTTCTATTAGTATTCTGACTTGTAATTCACTGGTGCTGATTGCTGCTTATTATTCTTGTTTATTTTTTTTATTTCTATGATTTTCGATCATTTTTAAAAAATTTTCGTGGTTAGGGAGCCTGAGCAAATCAATATTAAAGAAATCCATAACATGAATGTCGCTTAGAAAAACTGCTTTCAATCATATTTTGAATTGCCTTTAAAATATTTCTAATGAAAGTTTTCAAACAATTTTTTCAATTTTTTTCTTTATATTTTGCTATCTTCGGCTTCCAGACCAGTCGGCTAATCGAACAAAATGTTTTATAAAATTACCTGGGCTGTTTAGATCGGAAGGGTCTTTGTGGAACTGCAGTTGCTCCATAAAGATCTCGCGGGAGAATTCGAGCAAAATTTTTTCCGGCTCATCACACGCGGAGGGTTCTATGAAGCCCTGTCCTGCGAAGGGCATTCTCGCTCCAACTACAAACAATAACGAAGTGACATCACACACTTAGCAAAAAAGAGACAAAGACGCAGAAAAAACATCACACTAAGCAAATAGTAGAAAAGACCTAAAAAATAAATTGCTGTTGTTTCAAATAGATCAAAATGCAATATTGATCTGAATGAGATTGGAACATAAAAAGAACCTTTTGTAAATGTGACCTTTGAGAAATATACAAAAAGTCTTTCTTTTCAAAAAAAAATGAAAAATCAACGTTTTGTTAGTATATTGGTAACAACGAAATACCAGCAGTCTTTTCTTATTGGAAAAATTATCGTTAAAATGTTTGAAATGAATCGGTTCGATTTCGGGTAACTTTAGCCCTAGTCATGCTAAGAATAATTAGACCGAAACGTCAGACGTGCTAAGACGAAATGGAATGACAGCTAATTTAGATCAGGCGAACACATAGGCTCCAGGCAATTTTATTTCGATACCGATCATCACTGCTCATCTGAACAACTGCCCAAAGGGGTTTGAAAAACTAGCCATTCGACCCCAACTAGCCTTGCTCTTTTCGCAGCCCATTGCTCTAACATGACGTGTGAGCAACTTAAGCGGAAGCATTTAGAGTCCAAATGATATTTTGAATGCAAATTATCTCTTTTATTGCTCGTAATCTGCAACTGTACACAAATGAGTTATTATAGAAAAAATTTTAGCGACCAGAAATGGGGTTTAGAATCTCAGCAGTTATCAAAAAATAAATTTGCAAAGTGCAAAATATTTTCTTTCTTTGTACATAAAAATTTGAGGCTACGAAACATATTTAATTTTAAAATTTGAACGAATTGTTGTTTCGACCAAGTTTTTTTAGAGCTTTTTAGACCATTTTGCATAAAAAAAACGATTTCACGCTCTGCATAAAAACGATTTCACGCTCTGCATAAAAACAATTTCGCGCTGTTTAAACTTGTCTACACTTTTAATTGATTCCGGAGTTAATTATATAAATGGCAAGACAAAAGCTCTAGGCAAGTACGCACTTTCAGTCGTGGCATGGGGGTGAGACATAGTGGCATTGACGTGGTACTGCATAGCACTATTGGCCAACTTCCAGTCACGAGTAGGGGGGAACCTCTGGGATCCGTTGAACTGGATGTGGTGTGGGTTGAAGTGACTTCTTTTGTAGCACCACACTGACACCAGAAGAACCATGAGGACTAGTAGAATTACTGCCATGATGATAGAGGCCGCCAGTACTATCCCTCGCGGTTCCAACAACTCAACAGTATCTAAGCACCATTCAATCATACATTACTGTATTAAGATGCACTATGGCAAATGTTTGATCATAGTTTGTCTGGGTAATTTTATGTTTTCCGGGCAATTAGGTTCAGTCAGTTATTCAGTAACCATGGCTACGTATTCGCTGATTTCCTCTATAAGTCGGGAAACAGCTTTAAAATGCCAGAAAGTTAAGAAAGCAGCTTCAGCATCGGGCCAGTACAATTATAAATATAAATGATGGCTTCAGTAAGTGAACTAAAACCAATAGCCTATAAGATTTCCCTAACTTAATTCTTCATTTGTATCTCAATGATGAATTTCCGTGGTACCCATGGAAAGGTATAACAATTTCTGATAAGCTCAAATGCTGAATTTAAATCAAAATGATAATTTGCTCACCTTCGATGTGAAGAGGAAGTTTGGCACTGCAGATTCTGTCGTCCTCAAGACAGACTTTCAGGAAGTAGGAGCCAGGTTGACCTACTAAAGCAGACATTTAGTGGTGATAAGTCCAAAACAGTAGCAGAGTAACAACATCGGCAACACAAAGATACAATCATTTTGACAGAAGACTGCACGTTTTCGGGCGAAGCTCTGAACTTTCCGATTAACCTTTACTGTGAAAACTTTTCAATGGATTTTTTAAAGCTGATGAATGTTAATATTAAGCGTGATGGCTCTGGGTAACATAAACCCAGCTAATTTAGTCCATATTTTCTTCGAAAATCGAAACAGCAGACTGCTCGCACCAAGCAACGTCCTGAATGTTCCGACTGTGTCGCGTAACGTGCCTGCAGTAGCTTTTGTTAAAAAAACACTCAAGTAAAACAAGCGTAACCGGTAAGTGTGTAAGTAGCACAGAATGTTCCGACCATAGTCTTAAAAAAGTAGGGTCGTTTTTTTTTATGCGTGGTGTGATAAAAGCATCTGAACGAAAATCTGGACATAGGACATAGGAACATTCGACAGTCATAGTACAATAGGCCAATTGGACAATAGTTTTTTTTAGCCAATTAAGAATCTTTTGGTGACCAGAGGGTCAAGTCTCTGAGGCGCCCCCCCCCCCCCCCCCGTAAATCCGCCCCTGCTTGTGGGAGTAGAGTATTGTTCTTACATGAGAGTTGATATTGTGTATCTCTGCATGTGTATATGAGCTGTAGTCTGTCTTCTCTGTACACGTGGATATTGAATGAGTGGGTGGGGGAAGATCCCAACTGACGGGGAGCAGGAGAGGGGTCTAGTCTCCAAGTTAATAGCAGTTTGTCACTCCCTTCCACCGTCTCAGCTTCCAAGTTGTTGATCGCCGCTGAAAAAAAAATGAACCAAAACTGAGCATATGTTTTGAGAAGAACGTTTTTTTTCGCAGCCACTTCACAATTGAGGTTGCCAAGAATAAGGAACAAATTATTTTCTTGATACTTAATAAAATCAACCTGATGGAAAAAAATCCTATCTAGCCATTTCAAAATGAACTCTCAACTAAACGACATACGTTTCTGAGAGTAGTAGTTCCTGTTTACTCGACTTTTAGCTTTTCTGAATTACAGGCCAACTGAAGATGTTTGCCCTCAAATACCCAATTGGTCTTTAGTCTCCGCCATTTACTTTCAATTTTTAAATGTCGCTCTTTTCATCTTCGCTAACTACGCTTTAAAAACATTCACTCGTTTCTCAAAAAGAATGATAACCATCAAAATCTGCAGCTACGATGATTGGTCTCAAAGTAACAATAACTCAAGCTGAAGTGGACAATGATTAAAGGTGACTAATCACTATTTTCATTTTTTCGAGTACTGCCCGACAAAAAGACATAAAAGATCGGCGCTTACTCGATGACAAATTAGCTTGTCTAATGAGATACATTACAATACGCAACACTTCGCCACCCAAGGCTAAATTTTGACGGCACTGTAACTGAAGCTTACCTACATCATAAAAACGCCAAATGATTGCGAACAAACAGCTTGCTTGAAGCTAAAACGGATCTACTTAAACAAACCCCCCGCCCCTATGGTATTTACTAAAGAATCTCAACCCCTGAAAATAAAATCATTAAATTAGCACTAGAGCGTTCGTGCGTAAATTCTTATTTTGCTGTTTTCTGCTTGGTTGACGCTGGGTTTATCTACTTAACCATCTTTCCCTTCTTGAAAAAGGATATTGTAAAGAAGTTCACTAAAACTTAACAAATCTGCTTGCATCAGGGCAAAGCCCTGAATGTTCAGACAGTCTTTTAAGGTCTTTTGAGCAGTAATAACATGAAAAATTAAATGTAATACACAGAGGCGAATCTGAGCTAGGATTTAACAGCAAGACTTTCAAGAACTATCAAGGAATACTTCGAAAGTTGTAATCCTAAAAAGAACAACTCGAAAAACCAAAAAAAAAAGATGAAAACCAATTTTTTTTAAGGTCAAATTTATTAAAAATTTTTGAAGAGTTTTACATGCAAATATTAACATTGAGGGACGAAGTCTTAACAATTTCAAAATAATATCAAAAATAGTAAACAAAATATTCAGTAAATAAGCCGACAGAATTGAAGCCGACAGCCAAATAGCTGAAAATCGACCCAAATTGTTCGGCAAAATTTTATTGGAAACAATACATGTACTACCCAACTAGTATCCAAGAAACCCAGAAAGATACTGAAATTAAAGTGGTATAAACAATTCGTGAGCTAAACCGAGAGGATAATCGAGAGCCAAAAAGTCATTAGCAAAATTAATATCGATGTTTTGTAACTATACTTACAACCAATCTATCAAAATGAATGAAGCTAGGTTTGAAAAAAAAACGAGCCATGACAATATTAAGCAAAAAGAGCATGAGAATTAAACTAACCAAGCGGTAACAAAACAGAAAAAACGTCAGTAGAAGCCCTTCATGGCAAAAAAAAATCAAAAAAAAAAATTCCTAACAAAAAAATTTTGAGTTCGCCTTCCCCTTAGAAAAAACTTTCTTAGTCATCAAACGATGCAATAGGGGGCAACTAAGTAATCATAAAATAGGTAGAAAACGATTAAGTCGAAAAAAGAAGACAAAAATATGAAAAAAAAACGAAATTTTAACAAATCGAGCTGGTAAAATTACAACTAATAGAAAAAGCAAATTTAAACTCTCCAGGATTTTTATTATGCTAAGACACTTGAAGCAACTGCAGTGAAAATTGCTTGCATCAAAAATAAACGATTCTTACATCTGGCATCTGAGCCGACAAAACATGAGCAGACAAATAATAGTCCGAAATTTTTTGAACCGGAAATTTTACCGCTTAAAAAAATAGGTCCTTGTCAGATTCGAACCTAGGACCTTTGCCTTCTCAGGCGTCTTCGTTACCTCCAGACTAAGTGTACAGGAGACTGTAAGAAAATTGAATTCATTGTGAACCAAGGTACCACCAGGAGTCGATGAGTCCTGCAGACAAAGTTGTTTATGGACATAAAAAAAGTCTAGTACCCGATTGCAATACCCTGGCTTATCGCAAAGGTAAAAATGAAACATTTTTTTTTCAAGTTTGAGATTATTTGAGAAAATTATCTCCCCTCACGCCATATAAAGTACTAAGTGATAGATTTTGCTCCTAGTATCAAACTAATTATGGCCAATAGCCTGCTTCAAGCAATTGGAACGATTTCTAGGATGGATTAAATATCTGTTTTTGCGCTAATAGCGCGAAATATATCGCGCTTGAATTGTCCCGAATTAGTCAAAATGCCAATATTTAAACGACGATAATTTTACTACAAAAATATCACAGGTCAAATATTTTTTCAAATTCAAGCTCAAGACAACAATACTTTTTGAAAGATATAAAAAAATTCTGTCAAAAATGGGTAGTTAAAAAGTCGAAATTTGTCTGAAGAAAAAAACCTCCTCGAGCACAAATATTCTGTTTCTTTCGTTACGACAGTTGGAGCAAAAAAAAAACTTAAAAAGTCATACCGAAAAAACAATTAGACTAAAAAAGCAAAACTTAAAAAATCATACCGAAAAAACTGAGCTAGTTTAGATAAAACAATTCAGTCGGCTGTTATATTCACAAAAAAGGTTCGAGTCTTTTCTGTGAAGCGGCCCAAAATTAAAATTCTATTGCATACGCTTGTTTTTATAGAAAATCTACTCTGATATTGGCAGGAATTATTTCCAACCCAGCAGATTTGAGCATAATTGTTCCGACTTTCGATACGAAAGTAACGGAATATTTGTGCTCGGGGTGGGTTTTTTTTTCTTCAGACAAATTTCGACTTTTTAACTAGCAATTTTTGATGGAATTTTTGTATATCATTCAAAAGGTATTGTTGTCCTGAGCTAAAATTTGAAAAGATATTTCACCTGTGATCATTTTTCGTAAAGTTATGAGGGTTTAGAGATAGCCATTTTGACCAATTTGGGACAATTAACGCGCGATATAATTCGCGCTATTAACGCGTAAGCGGAGATTTAATCCTTCTTATAAATCGTTCCAAATTGGTTGAACGAAGCTGATTTACCATAATTGATTTGTTAAAAGGAACGAAATCTATCTTTTTGTACTTTAAATGGCGTGTGGGGGGATGATTTTCATTAAAAAAATTTTCATTTTATTTTATTTCATTTAATTTTTTTAATGTTATTACTGCTGCTCCATAAACCTTAAAAGGCAATCGGAACATTCAGGGTTTCGCCCTGATACGAGCAGTCTTGTTATCATTATGATCCAATTTTGAGAACACCTAAAAAATCAGTTTTGGACCGTATAACAGAAAACACCCACAGGTTTTTTCCCACTTCATCGTCGAAACAAACTCATGTTTCAAATTTGTATCGAAAAAAAACATGCGCTGTAATATTTGATGTTTTTATACTTTACAACATAGACAATTTGACTTGATTGTTTTGTTGGTTTCAATTTACAACTCAAGAGAAGGTTGATGGAACTTGTGTTTTAAGCCGTTTTACACACACACACAAAGCAAATACTTATCTAATAATTCAATTAATTTTGATGTTTTTCTTTGATTTTGACCGTTCAAAGCAGAGAAATGAATAAATTTGGCATTTTATGAGCTCACGTGTTAATTTTTCTCGACACCCAATTAATGGACTTGCTTTAATCTCACTCGAAAGTTAATCGTCTAAGCATTATGATTCGAATAAATCTCTTTGAGAAGGCTTTCAAATGTCACTTTTCATAGACTTGTGACAATAAAACTAAGTAATCGCTACAATGATGAGCTCTCTACCACTACAGATTTAATCGTCCTTACGCAAATACATAGCTTTTTTCTTTAGCTATTCCAAAACAAAAAAATTATCAACAAAATGCTCGTATCTTCAGATCTTGAAAAACCCTGTGTAATCTACTAGAAACGAGACTTTGCTTCAGTTTAATATTACAAAAAAAGGATAAAGATGCAAAACACTTAAAACTAAAGAAACTATTGAGTCTTTTAAAATATCAGTAACTTGTGTTAAAAACTCCCGATACTTGACTTCCTAGATTTCATTTGAAACCTTTTCTAAAGCCAAAGCAGATCACCAAGTCAAAAAATTGAGAACAATCAAAACAAAACAACAATGTCTGTTTAATGAGCATCTAAATTGACCATCTGCTGATGGTGACTTAAGTCAAACACGCTGCGCTGTCTACGTTCACTTTGATTATAATTGTTATATTTAAAATCTAATCTGATGAGTAAATTGCTATTATTCAAGTTTGATAACTTGATTATTATCTCGAGGCGAGCTGCGATCTCTGCCTGGAAGGAGGCGAGCACAGCTGTCAGTTTTGACAGCTCAGTCATAACAGATTGAAGACTTGATGAACGTTACACAAACAATGTCTTCACTGAAATATGATGCCAAGTATGATACAAGTCTAAAGTCTTCACTAAGTTGAACTAGCTCTAACTTTCAGATAACAAGCCTTTTTTATCAGCAAGGGACAAAACTAACGCCTCAGTTTACAAAGTTAGCACTTTATTTAAGATGATCAGAAATTTCCATAGATGGTTTCATGTTATGCTGACCTCAACAGTCTGATTCCAAAATTGATCAAAAAGAGTCCCTTTAAAAACATTAAAGCATAACCTGGAGATTTCATCTAAAGATGATTTTAGTCTTTCACTACTTAGGAAACAACATCAAACTAGGCACACGAGACAAATGTCACTTTTGTGATGTGCGAATTTTCACGACAGCAAACCTAATTGCTTAACATCCAAAATGGGTCATAGTGTTTCTTCATCCTCAAATATGAAGATGTCTCTTCAATTTGTAATTTGGTCAGCGAAACAAAAACTTTTCTATCTACGAAAAACGGTTTCATTTTCTTTGTTCTTTGTTATTTCTGTGCTTTTTTTATCATTTCAGAGTACGTAATAACTATAAATTTGAAAAGAGGTCACATCATTTCATTCTATTTTCATCAGAATACAAGCCCCCCTATTTTTCCTAAATTCTCAAGCACTAAAGAACTGTTTAAAAAATTTGAATTCTTTTAAGTTCATATGCGGAAAAAAGGAACCAAAGAATTTCACATATCCAAATGAAAAAATGAAAAAATTTAGCTAAATCATGAATTCGTTGTTGTTCAAAAATGGTTACTCTGCGTTCATCACAATCGATTTATCATTCTCGTTCGGCTGTGGTGACCGGATGTTTGTTCTAGGAAATTGCGGGGCAGAAAAGAAGTGAAAATTGCGACACTATTTTCAGCAGTTCCCACCTTTATTTGCAATTACATTACACTCAATTACTGGAAAACACATTTTGTCCAAACATCACTGAAAAAAAATTGGGTTCAAACTTTTTGGAGCATTGAACAAATTGATTCAAAATTATCATTTTAATCATTGCTCAAATTTAAAATAACATTTTTTTTCCAACTTCTTGCAGCAACATTTCAATTTAGTCTCGCATTCAGTTAATGGTTCTTGGAGGTCAGTTATCGACTGCTCATTAGAAAAAAAGCATTGCAAAGTGAGCATTGAAAGTATGACTAACTGATTCAGAGGCACAACCGAGTTCTTAGTTTGAAACAATGATCTCAATTTGAGTGGGGCACTAGGAGAAAGAAAAAGGGACATTTTCGGAGTCGGGCCGCTGCAAACAGTTGGTCATGTACAGAGAAATAAGCCAGGCCGCTCTATTGGGAACAAAATTGGGCCTGCACCCAAAACAAACTAATAGCAGTCGAGTGTTTTCTCATGTTCTAAAACAAAGGTTTCCCCGAAATGTTTTTCACGCAAAATTTATATATTTAATGGAGCGATTAGCAGCTAACCTAAAGGCTTCAATAAAGTGGTTGAGAGTGACATAACAAACTTATGATAGACGCCAAGGAAAAAAATAAGGAAAATTACAAAAAAGACTAAAGGTTATAAAAACCAAAAGTTTAACTTGATTTTCTTCGAAGGCATGCATTGGCGGATCTCCAAAAAATGAAAATTTTGTCGGCCTTTTTTAAGGTTGACCAAATTTATTTTCCGAGGTCTTTAAAAACTATACAGACCGTATTTAGTCCAATTTTTTGTTCCGCATGCAAAATTTTGAGAAAATAAAAACAGGTCAAAAATGCCGTTTAAGGGAGGTTTTGAACAGAAAAACTGTGTCTTTTTCGGCGCCCGCTCCCCTCTTAAATTGCAATATCTTGACGCTAACGCGGCGCTTTTGGAAAAAAAATCAGGGATTGTCGGCCAAAAACGAATGATTTAAAATGGTATCATAGGGAGATTTTTTGGTTGATCCTTTGATTGAGGTACTAGTTGGTATTTTAAAGAACCTAATGCGATGAAAAACTCATTTCTAATTGCATAGTTAAGAAGACCTGTTTTTGATAAGTTTTGTCAAATATGGCAAAAATTCAGAAATGGAGCTAAAAAGTGGTGTACTAATTGATTTCAAGTTGGCCATAAAAACAGGCTGTCCTTGAATTGTTTCAAATAACGAAAAATAGCAATTTCGCACCAAATTACAAAAGAATACTGTATTATCAACCCTTCATTTTCTGCGGAAAAACTTTGTATTCTGCTAGAAGAAACAGAAAAACCTGAATATATTTTTAATTATATATTATATATATATTTACGTGTTTTCCGAAAGCCAGATTCTGGTGTCTAGAAAAAGTTCAAGCTGAATTATTCTTTTTTGAAATATATGCCAACTCCTCACATTGTTGAACATTGAAATCATTTTTTGCATTAAACTAGAACACCAGAAAATAATGGTTGTGACTGCTAAATATTAGCTGGCGGTGACCTTTTAAAAAGTGGGTATCTTGGACCTACGAAGGGTCTTCTATTCTCCCATTAACTTCACATTACCCTAAGCAAACTCTTCTTAGAGACTAACAGTTTGCGCGGCCCAATTTTGCATTAGCGTTGACTAATGTAGGTCTGAGATTTAAAGACCTCGGTGTCTCGTTAACCCACTTTTGGGTGCTCCGAGAAATTGCCCAACCTTTATAGTCACTACGAGTTAAGTCTACAATTCAAGTTATTTTATTCTAGCTGACAAAAAATGGACTCAGTTAAACTAAGAAAACACTTAATAGAAAATAATAAATCCAACAGCTAAATCTAACGTTCAAAGCAATTTTCACAATACTAATAGTGCCATAGTTGAAATTTCATGTCACAATAAAAGGAAGGTTTAATGGCACCATCTCATTGTCAACGCCAACTGATAATCTTTGCCTGAAGATACATTCATTCTAGGCTTCGCCTAAGCAAATTTGGAACAATTTTGAGTCACTCAAACAAGAAAACGAACTTGAGATCGACAAAAAACTTGATATGTTTTTTTAGTGATTCGCATTGAGAAAAACAGCCATTTATGTCATTAATTGATAGATATGCAAAGATACCTGGTTGTTGTGCATATAGCACAGAATGTTCCGACCACGCTTATTTTTGCAATAAAAATTTAAACTGAGAAAAAAATTTAATAGAAAAACTTACTTTTTGGACCAAGTGAACAATCGCTCCCCTAAATCTATTCAGGGAAGAGATTGTTCACTTGGTTGAAATTACCATTTTTCAGCCAATAAGATTTGAGCATAGTACATAAAAGTCTTGGGGCTTGATTTTGTCATTATATTTTAGGGGGGGAGATTGTTTACTTGGTCTATTAATGGGGAAATTGTAAACATGAGCTTTTTCTTCCAGCCTTTCGGTTGCTCTTCTTTTCAGCTAGAGATATCGTGAGAGGGGACTGAATTATTTTTTAATCAGTAAGACTAGCAGAAATAATTCAAAAATCGGGGAACAAATAGATTAGAAATGCAGTCTAAAATTTATCCAGTCTGAAAATTAGTGTGAAAAACGGAAAAATCAGACCCATTTTTATCTGAACTGAGACAACATTATGGATTTTTTTGGAATCTGAATCACGGCTCAACGGGCTTTAATATGATACCACACTTGACACTCAGTAAGCTTTCCTTGAGGTACATGAAATTGGGCGAAAAAACACGAGCTAATCAATAGTTCCCTCCTGTCACTTAAGTAACGTGGTCGGAACAATAAGCCAGAATACATCATTAATTCGAACAACATATGAAAAGCTTGAGACGAAGACTGTTTATCCTCAAGAGGAAAGGCGGGGACGAGCATAAAGTGGGGAGATCGTTTAATACCTCATTAAAACCCCCCCAGATTAAGACCTTAATACCTTGCTTGATCTTCAACTGCTGCCACGCCTTAGTTTATAACCAGTACTGATTATAAATTCCAAGAATGGCCAGATTTGCAAAAAATGAGTTAAAATGATTTTTAAAATATGAACTTTAATTTACGCTCAGACGAACGAACGGACAAAAACGAATGGTAAAGGCATCGTTTTAAGAAACAAGAAAACGAGACAGCTCAGTTAAGGTTAGAGCCCCGAATATTCTGACCCCGTTTAAATTGTCTCAATATATTTTGAATGAATACATAAGAATTTCCTAATAAATATGCAAAATGATAATAAAAGCTGCATCATAAACTATTATTTTGATTGCCACAAGTCTTTGAAAATTGCCAAAAAAACTCCGATTATGCATACTGATGACTTTTTTTAAAAAAGACATTTTATAACTAAAACGCTTCGCGTGTGAAACAACTCTTACGTTTTTGACCGGTTGTGAAAGTGACCTCAGCATATTGCGCGATGTTCCTTTGGCCCTCAGTGATTGAATTCTCCGCGTATACCCTCGCCAGGTGCTGAGTCATGGGTCGTAGATCAAAAAGAGTATACTCATACTCGTCAAACTGATTTTTGTAATCGGCTGTTCGGAATCTGAACCCAAACACGAGGCAATAAGAACAGAATAATGAAATTAGACTATTTATCATCGAGCCATCCATAAATGGTCAACATATCAAGATACTACACCAGCGGCTATAAAATCAAGACTCAATATAAAAAATGGCCTATAGGAGTTTGAAGGCATTACAAAAATTTCATTATTTCACCAAAACTTCAAAATCAGTTAAATCTCTCATTAAAAAAAACTGGTTTTAAAAACCTTTGATAAATTTCAATATATTATGAAGTTTCAATACATTATTCCCACTAAATAAAATGAAATCAGGCTTTCGTGAAATTTATGATTGCTACATAGTGAACATTATGAGCCTGGTAACTTCAAATTGTTCTAACCTTTCGCCAGTGCATAAATCGCATTGAACAACAAAGAACATGGCATGTTCTTGCATTCCCATGCGATTGAACGAGGAGTCTCTCCACTTGAGAACGACGTCATTATTCACCACTTCCGCTTCAAGGTTGCTGAAAACAAATTTGTTCATCAAATAGCTGATCAAGTAGCACAGAAGATTCTGTGCAAACAGGGGGCGGATCTAGGATTTTCTCGAGGGGGGGGGGGGGGGGGGGGGTGCGGATTTTCAGAAGTTTTTTAGGTCGACTAAATTGATTTGCTGAGCTCTCCCAAAGCACTACAAAGACCCTGTTTTGGCCAAAAAAAATTCTGCGCCGCAGGCAAAATTTTGGAAAAAAACAGGCCAAAAAGGCGTTTTAGGCACTTTTTGGAAATTTTTCAGCAAAAAATCGCGTTTGTTTTTTCGGCGCGCGCTCCCCCCCCCCCCCCCCCCCGCCTTACTTTAAGTGTATATTGGCGCCAAAGGCGCCTTTAGAATAATTTTAGGGTCCGTCAGCCAAAAATGGATATCTCAAAATAGTCCCTGCGTTCAAAGTTAGTGTTGAGAACAATCGTTAAGCAACAATATTTTTTTCTGGACACCCAGACATCAGTTTTTCCCGATTTCATCGGATGTTTATTTGTAATATCTGATTTTGCGTCAAAAAAGTCATAGTCTCTTCGCATTTTGTCATCTGAGCAAAAATGAAACAGTCCCGAATCCAAAAACCCTCCACACTTTTGGCATTCGCAAGAAAAATGTACTGTGCTAATTTACCCAAAGTTTATTTTTTCGTCCGATTTGGATTTAAAATGTCAGAAATGTTTAACGTAGTTTTATTTCATATCGTTAATTAGCAATCATGATTTTGCCCAATTGCTCGAACCCTGCGCACCCTTGCCATGCAAAATTTAGATTCTACTTACCCAGGTCCTAAGGGCGGTCTAAGACACATCGTCTCAACAGAAGCGTTGATGGCCCTGTAGTATCCATCAGCACATCTGCAAGAGTCCGAGCCCTCCCTTGTCGCATGGGAGTTCCGAGGGCATTTCGCACAGACATAGTTGCCGTGGTCTGCCTTATACATGCCAATCGGACAAGCTGAAACAAATACATATTCCATTCAAATGACTTCAAAAAACTTTTTGCATAAACTGAAGTTTTTGAAAAATCCAAAATTAGATTTCTGACAAAGTTTTGAAAAATTCCACTTTTTTACAATAACAAACAAGAAAGTCATTGGTGGGTAAAGCAATGAAAAAACATTGCAGTTCTTTTATTTCACCATTTTCGGTTCCATCTTTTTCTTGATTTTGTTGAGTCACAGAAAATTATTTTCTTATAAAGGTTCACTTCTAGGAAATTTTGAACTAAATTATCAACTTTTCTAATCGCTCATATTTTTTATTCTCGGAAACTATTTATTTGTTTAGCAAACGCTTCTGTCGCGACAAATTTCATGGTTTTTGTTTATTACGCCATGGCTAATTTGCCAAATCAACCTCGAAAATAATCTTGTTGCGCCTCGGGTAAGGAAAACATTGGACCTATTTAACAGACCAGACCGCCTTGGAGATAGAGACTCGATTACATAGTTAGGGTGGTATACAAATTTTCAGCCCGAAGTCATTTCCCCAAAATATTCATATCACCAAAAAATTTGGTTTTTGGTCTGTTCCACGTCATATTGAGATATCGAAACGCTGTACAGCCGGAAGAAAATGAAATTATTCAGAAGAAAAGATAGAATTTATTTAACAAATGAGGACAAACAAAACTCTAGAAAATGGATCATGGATCAGACAAACCTGTCAATAGACCCAGGGCCATAAAACTGTCATGTGTAGCTATTTACGCCATTTATCACATATCAATGCTGTATACATAATAACACCAGAATCTAATCAGCTTCGCCCAGTGGCTGATTCAGCTGAGTTCGTGGTCGGGCGAATCAAATTTGCACAAAAAGACAAAATTGCCCCCTTCCCGCCCCCTGATGTTATGATATTATTAAATGACCCACCCACTAGAATTAGAACTGATTTCAGTTGAGCTTCGTGTTTTAAGCAAACAGTTGAATTGAATTAACAGCACCGTCTTTAACCTTTAAGTTAAAACTTGAAGAATGAGAATACTGTATACGTGCTGCTGCGGAGCAAAAGTGCCTAGGATGCATGACTGATGGTTTATTAATTTAGCCATTCTAACTGGATCTAGTTATAGCGATAGCCCTTTACCCAGTAATAGTTAACCTTTGCCAACATTTAATAAACGCAATGGCAGCCATATAAGGGTCCAAAATACTTTAAAAATCTAGCTCAAAATTAATTTCAGTCAAGTTCAATGCACATTAATGGGTTAACAGCATGGAGTTCAAAGTTACAATCGAAATTGTCAAATTTGAACAAGTGGAAAAGTGCTTTTGAGAAAGAATGGGATGACCCTTAAAGAAACTTTTCCAGTTAAGGTCCTCTAGCCAATCCAATCAAATAGAAACTGCATTTAGTCACTGGCACAAAGGCACGTTTTTTCAAAGCAAGCATAGGACATTAAATCGAAAGATCAATTGCAACATTAGAAGATAAAATTGATTTCAGAATTCCAAACCGACAAAAATAGTCGGCAAACTGTTAGCTTTGAAAGTATCATCGACTATTGTGGCCTCTTTTTTTACACAATTTCTTAAAAATAGAAATAAAAATTTCGAAAAAAGCAAATGTCTTTTTTTGTTCTCATTATTAGATGAATTATTTGCAACTTATTATCATGCTTCAGACTCTAAATAATAATAAAACCTTCTGCTGTTGGAATTTAACTTCTAAAATTGTCCCCGCATTAAAAATGTGGAAATATCAGGTCCGAAAATCTGTCGGAACCAAAAGGGCGAAAAAGATTGATAAACGATAAGCAGTAAAAAGGAACTTAGGAAATATGGATAAGGCTGAGTTGAGATTAGAATAGGGTTGAGTAACGTATGGGCAAATGGAGTTGGCAATGGACTATCTCTAGAGACGGGGGTGTTAAGTTCCAACTTATCGATCACTTAACACTCGTTCTGTCACTTGGCCTGTCTCTCAGAAAAGATATCGTTAAAGCTACATCGCATTATCAACTTTGAATATTTTTAGCCTTTTCTTTCAATTTTTAATTTGGAGTCCTAATGACATCTGAGCATTACATTTACATCCATAGTTTACATAGGTGAGGCTTGATAATCAAAAAATGTCCAACAAACCCTTTTATCTATTGAACCTCAGAATAAATTAAATATCAGGTGCATTTTTGAACAAAATCCACTGCAAAAATTTAAAATTCATGAGAAATTTTGCTAAATATGAGACGCAAAACTAATTGCAGATTTCGATCTAGACTCATGCAAGACTGATGGACCTAGTAATTTAAACTAAACGGATATTTTCCCAGCAGGAAAAAGGATGTATTAGGGATTTAAGTAGGGCACAAATTTATTCACCATTATGACTACATCAATATGAGCACATTTCAATCAATTATCAGGAGAATGTACTTGTATTCTGTCTGCGTGTGCGGGCTACAAACTAAGATTGGTCACTGAACCATGTTGAAAGCTAGTTGCAATTCTCTACTTTTTCCCAATTAATTTGGGCAAAATAACAAAAAGAGGAGGCGACTTTTAATCAACTCGACCCGCTGCTTTCCATTCATACAAAATGTCTTTTTAATCGAATGCCACTTCAATTTAACTTTCACCTCAGCAATTCGACACCAACTTGAATGAACAAAGCAGGAACAGACAGCAGATCAGAGACATGAATTTTTTTTAAGTAAGAGAAGTCTGCCTTAAAATTAGTTTCAGACAAATTCAAAAGTTGACAAGCCTAAATGATAAAACATTAGGGTAAATACGGAACTCCAATGAATTTCCAAGCACTGAACAACACTGATCCTATCCGGAAGCGAAGGCCTGAATGTTCTGACTGCCCTTTAATATCTAAGTAGTTTTTCGTTGGATTTTTCAAAAACTATTTTTTAGATTTTTGAAATTATTCCCCCACACTTTATGTAAGTATAAAATGACAAATTATGCATCAAGTAGATCAAACAGCTTGCTTCAATTCAATTTGAATCATAGCTGAGCCGATTAATTCTCCGCTTACGAGTTGAGTTATAGAACGAAACAGATCGCGCTTTCTCCCCAAATTGGTAATTTTCAAACCCCGCAACTTTGCAAATGTTCGCAGGTGGAACATTTTTTTTTAATTTTGAGCTTAGGGCATCAATATTTTACAGACTGCATAGAAAAATTTAGACAAAAATTGCAGGTCGAAAAATCAAGAAACTCAATACTCATCAATTTCTGAGTTAAACATGGTAGATTTTGTTTCAAATCGAAAACAAAATTTTTTTAGCATCATTGAGGCACCAACAAATCAGCAAAAATCTGAAAAAAAAACTTATTTTAAGAGAGAAATGTGGCAGGAACAAAGTTTCAAGCTAACCTGAGCAACTTCTCGTTTGATCGGTAGGTTCGAATCCAGCGTCGCAGGAACACTTGGGAGGGAGCATGCTGGACTCCCAAGTAGCCATCTTACAATTGGCCGTGTCCATTCCGGAGTTCGAACTGGCATGTTCGACGCAACTCAGAGCAGAAACAATCATGTCTTCCTTAGCATAGAAGGTCTTGGGGTAATTAGCTAGTTTGAGAACACTCGCTTGACAGACGTACGTTACCAATTGCAGAACTATAATCTTCGTGCATGATCCTTTGTCCTGAAAGAAGAAAACGGTCAGTTTTTTTCTGGTATCAACTAAAATCAAGCGCTCAAATCTCGATACCGACTAACAGTAATAAAGAGCGGCAACGATCTCAACAAGATCGCTCGTATCAAATTTCGACATCCCTTAAAGGTTTCTGGAATAGTTTTTGATAAAATCTATTTTTAAAATTTGAAAATTGATGGAATTTGGAAAATTGCTCTTTTTTAAAATCTTCAACCCACACGTTTTGTGAAAATAAAGTGATACATCAACCGGCGTAATAATAAGTCCAAATAATTTGTCTCAAAACAATGTGGAACAATTTCTGAGCCGGATTGAATCCCTGCTGAAGCGTTCGTAGCATCAAAATAAATCGCGCGTTAAATATCTCAATTTGGCATTTTCAAACCCTCGCAACTTCCCGAAAAATGATCATTGGCGAAATATATATTCTCTAATTGGAGCTCACGACGTCAATACCTTTCAGATGCTATAAAAAACTCTGTTCAAATCTGGATAGTTAAGAAGTCGATATTTGTCTAAAGGTAAAAAAAAGCTACACCGAGCACAAACATTTCCTGTTTGCTTCTCACGTCACAGCAAAAAAGACAAATACCAAAATCGACGATTCTCAAAGTTCGATTGTTATTTTTGAAAAAAAAAGAAGAGGCAAACGATTGCTCTGCTGCCGTTACATTTGGCGCGGGGAAATAAGAGCAAAGCGCTATAACTATTCTCGACTGTCCTTTAAGATTAATTTAATGAAAGTATTGTGCCAACGTTCGAAGAAAAGGACAAAAAAACTGTACTTGGGTGATTTTTTTTCACCAGACAAATTTCGAAATTTAAACAAGCCATTTTCGGCGGGATGATTTAATATCATCTTAAAGCTGTAGAGCTCAAAATCAAAAATATATTTCACATGTGACTATTAAATTTACTGGTGCCAATTAGTAATTATCGATGCGCGGATATTTCGTTTTAATGAAACGTAAGCGTCTCATTAAATCATTCCAAATTGAATCTGATAGCACGCGCCGTCTCTGTGGTGCGCATTTCGAGGATGTACCAGTGCTCCCAAGCGGGTTTGCTAAACATTATCCTAGCTGCGCTTTGAGCCTACGTAAATTGCTCGTTCAATACTATGAAGACTTTATCTATGATGCTGAAAGGGTATTATTAATTACTATCTAGCAGTCAAAACTTTTCTGACTAAAAATCAAGCTAACTGGTCATATTATTTCATTATACGACTCAAATTTTAAAACTTAGTATTTGATATTGACAATCAAAATTTATAATTTATCAAAAAGATTGTTAATGATAAACGAGCAGTCTTGTTCATCTTATAAATTACTTCATGTTTTTCTGATAAACGAGCAGTCTTGTTCATATTATAAGTTACATAAAAACAAAATTTGAAAACTCTGGACAAAGATAAACCGACTGAAAAAAAATTCTTTTCAATTTATAATGACTCGATTCTAACCCGAAAAGCAATGTAGACCCCTTTTCGACCACGCACGTCAATGACAAACTCTCTTTCAACAGGTCCATACTCCTTCGATCCATTGGTTGCTATGTTGAGCACTTTTCCCGTGTCTTGGTACTCGTTATCGCGAATAACCTCAGACAAGGGCCTCGGCATTGTGTCTTCTTTGTCGACAAACCGGGTCATTATTTGCACGCTGTTGGAGCACTCACTAGTAGCACTTTTCACTTTGCAATCGCTTTGCAAAAACCTAAAACGTAAAACAACCACCGTTTCCAAAAATATCATCTACAAATGTAACCGACATTGCACTAAAATTATTAAACTTTTAATTTTGAGCAAACAAAAATATTATCGGGTACACTTTACAAACTGAGTGCAAAAAAAACAACAAGAAAATTGAGCCAGCTTGCCCATTTTTTCAAGCAACAATCGTGTTGGCTAGTTCTTCAGCACATAATCTCGGAGTTGGGATGGGCTAAATAGACGAATGAAAGTAATGATTGAAACAGTCACCTCGAATTAACCGACTATCATCAGAATTATTCCTCAAGGGAACAACAAGGTAATCACATTGTACTGAACAGGAAATCAGGGGTGGGTCAAATTCCATTGGTTATTACTCTATAAATCGACTAGTCAACGAGACGACCAAAAACTAAAACGTCTTCTTCGGCTTTTCGCAAGGAAAGCAAACAAAAAAGATCTTTAAATAAAACACTGCAAATTTTTCCGTCCATCCAAGCGTTTTGAGAAAAATTCTACGAGCGATCGAACAGCAATTTGTGATGAGTACAATTTCGGTTACATGAAAATCGGTTTAATTAGCCCACAGGGCTGTTTCCAACAGCTGATCCAATATAACCCTCATTCCGGGCAGATCGACTGACCTAATGAGTCACTCTGGCTCAGGTAATCTGTCAGGGCAATTATTAACTACATGGGAAAATTTTAGAAGGCGTGGGGTTCAAGTTGTTTGAAAATGAATAAAAAACACTAATTCATCAACATCATTTTTGACTGCAACAACAGGAGTAATTCGAAGAACTGATTAATCATTTCCTGTGTCATGTCACACATTATGTCATTGAATATGACCGCGGCTCTTTCTCAAAAAATCATAACAGTGTGACTGTTTAATAATTGAAATACAAAAAATTTTTGTTTAAAAAACCCGCCTCTTGTTTCTTACAAATGGCGTTGAAAATTAATAAAAAATTGATTTTTCTACTTTTTTGAAGAGCATCTTTTTGCACTGTGAAAACAAAAAGGCTCTTTTAAATTATCGAAATAATTGCAAAGAAAAATGAATGAGATGAAATGAACTCAAAAAGAAGTTGTATATTTGTATTCATCTTTTCTTTTCTTGTGAAAAAATGTAATACATAATTTAAACACTTCACTTGCTGAAATTTCTGCAACTAATCGCTTAGGCAGCTGCCAAGAAAATTGAAGTTTCAAGCAGGTAAACTTCGCACTTTTTACTTGAAAGAACCTCAGTTTAAGCAGCATTAATTTTGAAAATATCGCAAATAAAAATTGATTAGAAAGTTTTAATCGCCAGCTGCTTTGAATCGAGATCAAATCATTGATTTCATAGCAAGCAAGTCATTACTTTGAAAAAAAAAACGAAAAAATGTCAATTTTAGCATGACGCAAAGTCTAAAACAAACTTTGCATCGTAACTTTTGAAGGTTTTTAGTACCGTGCTTCAAAGAATGGAGTCATACGTCAAATTAATTCCATGGAGCTATATCTAAGACAATTTACACCATAAACAACAGTTACCTGAATTTCTATATGATAAACGGGAACATTAAGCCAAGTCGATTGTACTTAACAATAAAAGTTCCATTGAAAAAAAAACATGAAAAATTAGATCAAACCCTGATGAATATTAGCCAGGTAAAACAACCATGATGGAGAACTTTAACAAGGATATCGATGGAGATATTCCGTATAACTTGAGGGGTTTACTTCTGTAAGTTTGCGACTTACAGAATTTTGAGAGTTATTTGTTCGAGTTGCGATACGTCAATATAACTCGATTCCAAGAGGTTGTCAGCTCCTTCCAACAAACTATCGCAAACTTCATAGAACGGGCCTCTCGTTGCTGTCGCCTTGTTAAACTGCCACTAAAACACAACATCACTGTTCAAACTTCTCTACCAAGACACTTCAACCATCTATTCCACAAAACGAAAAAAAAGTAAAACGAATTTTTTGTAGGCCACCAATTTCAGCACAAAAGAATATTCGTAAGATATCTTCGTCGATCAATGGTTTAGACTAAAGAGTCTGTTTTTTTTATTCTGAACATTTTCTGAAAATCTTTCGTAAAAATTTCGCAGCAAATTTTACTACACACAACAGTAATAGTAATGCTCCGTAATTTTAACTTTTCGAACTTCCAAAAACAAATTACGGAGCTTTATTACTAAAAAAAACTGAAAAAATGAATTTAAAGGTGTTTTTTGAAAGAACGTGTAACCGGTATGCTACGAAATGAATTTTCTATCGTAAAGATGAACAGTTAATCTCAATCGATTTCCCATTAAGTCTGTAAAAACATTCAGTTGCAGATACGCTAAGTTCTCTTTATGGACTACTGCGCCTTAGATGGTCAGGTGATGCAACACTAGAGCCTGGAGTTTATTATAACCTCTGTTGTTATTAACCAGCTGCGTCAATTTCGATCACACCACGCTGCAAATATAAACATGACTCCCATCATCCCCACGCAAAAAATATTTCTGTAAAAAACAATTGAAAATTTTCTCTTATACTGTTCATAATAGAAGCAGGCAGCTCTGCAGTCGAGCACTGCAGTAGCTTAAAACGCTTAAAACTTAATTGAGATAATATTAAAAATTGATTTCTTGTTTAGCTTTCTCTAATACCGTGCTTGCTATGTTTCGAAATAGTTAGGTTCATCAAATTGGTCTACCCCATTGCGAGTTTTCCCTGTAACTCCATAGGCCCGGAAGTTCCAGCGTGGAGGCAGTTCTTTAGTGTCCAGTATAAACTCTGAAACAACAGTATTAGATAACCTTAAAACCCTGTTTCGAGTCCAACAATTTAAAAATTCAACTTATATAGATGCATAAATTTCAATTCGTAATGTAAAATTTCGATTTCTATTTAAAATTGTATATCTAGGTGTAATAGTTTAATAATAATAAAAAATTTGACATAATAGGGAAACATGGCAACAAAAACTATGGGGTACAGGAAAATTTTTAAGGGGAAAAACTCCATTTTATGTTAAATCTTTCAAATTTTATAAAGCATTTGAGTGCTCACTTGTATCTCTTCACTCATTTTCAATGAATTAACGGTCATAAAACAATGCTGAGCAATTGGGCTGAAAACTTGATTGAGGGGTTTACTTCCATGAAAAGGCAGAGCATTTGAGACTTTTCAGCCTGTCACAGTCAACTTGAATCACGTCCTGAAGATTTTTTCCACTCATTTTCAGTGCACTTATTATACCCTCCCATTTTGTAATAATAAATTAATTCTAAATTGAATGAAAAAAACGGCGATTTTAATGATGACCAGAACAGGGTAGGATTTTTCGTGAAATTTATTTTTAAAGTTTTCAGAATTAATCTGCGTAAAATTGACTTTTAAATGTCTTTTGCCTCATTAAAATGTAAATTTAAATGTCAAAAATCAACCCACTCAAAAAAACGTGCATTTTAATTTTGCATTGTATTTTTGGACCTTTTTCTATTTTAATTTTCCTTTTTCCGCAAATTTCAATTACTGAGGTGGTTATTGAACTGGGAGTTGCGAAAATAATTTATTTGGGACAGTTAGTGGCGATAAATTGCGCTATCTATTATTGGAAAAGTTACTGCACGCTGGCAATCTAAGCAATAAATTAGAAATAGGCTAAGCTGAAAGACAGATTAGATCCAATTTTGTGGCCCCCAAAAAATCGCACCCGCAGTCATAAAGCAATGAAAGGTGACCATGCATTCTAAAATAGGCAGATTAACCCCTTTTTGTTGATTTTGAGGTTAATTCTGCTTTAATTGCATTTTCTGGTTGAACCATTTAAAAACAGTAAAATATTAACCGAACTTAACAGTTTGAACGGAATTTAATAGTTTTCTGAATAATTAATGAATATCTTAAAATAGTCAAAACATATTTTTTGCTGATTTTATTTGAAATTGTTCTTTGTTTCAGAAGCAGTTAATTAATTGGGCGTGGTTGTCCCGCCCTAATACTAAAATAAGAGATCGAATTTAATCAAAACAACCTGAAATCATTTACTTTAAAAATCAGCGCGGTACATATTTGTCATTTTTACAGCTAACTTCAATTGAATTTTATAGTCTTGCAGCAGAAAAAAAGACACTTAGATAGTATCGATGCTATATAAATGCTAAGATCATGTGCAAATGCTGCTCGATACTGAAGTTTTTAATTAATCAAAATATTTTCCGCTTTCGAGCAAAAAACTAAGATGCCATGAATTAAAATTTCATCTATTTAGGATCAACAATTCGATATGACAAAAATTTTTGTTATTGATTTCATGAATCATTGAAATTTCATATTTAGTTGAGCTAAAATTTTTAAGCAAATGTCTTTAAGCATTTTTAAGCAGATAATTCAGGAAACTTCTAGAAACTGCTTCATAATTATGCATCATCATCTATCATCTATTTCCATTTAAATACTGTTGATGCGTAACTTCAATTTTCGTCTCGCGGCAGTATGTATGTATGGCTTGTCTATGTCTATCCATAGTTAAAGCAACCTCTCATCAATAAAGCTTTCATAGCTTGTGATGTTTGTGTTGTGCAACACTAATTCTGTTTTGCTTGCAAAAGTAAATATTTTGACACCCATCAAAGCAAATTTAGAGCCATGGGAAAGGAAAGGGGGCCTAATGTGTAAACATATCTATGTTTCAACTTTTCATTAGGATGGAACTCCTGTGATGGATATTATGCAATTGTGGTTATTTCAAATAAATATCTTCCATTCAGATAACTCTGTACAGAACTGTAAAGAAAAATTCGAACTGTCTGTATTCCCCCTCCCTCTTCAAAAAAAAAGTTTATCGCCCACCTCTTATATATCATGAAAAACTCCTCATAACTCAATTATGAGTATTTAGATACATCAATTGCTCATGCATTCACGAAAGTTGAACTGATATTAAACCTACCATTCTGGGGGAAAGAACTGATTAAAAACTCCAAGATCTTCCCTAACTTCCAAAATTATCGTAATTCACATTGAAACTGGTCATTTTCTTATTTACAAACCCTATATTGAGAGTTAGAACGAATTTGTATTTCTGAGGTTCAGAACTTTGAAGTGTAACCGAAATTTTTTGCGAAAAGAATAAAGTTCGATTTTGATACATTTTCTTATTGACTTCAATCGATGTTGAAAAGAATTTTAAATCGTTTCAGCTGCAATGTTTGGCCAATTTTCGCAACAATAAGCGACCTCTTTGACATCATATTCACGTTGTAAGGACTTGTTTGCGCAGGCAGATTTAGTCAACGCCTCCGAACAAGAGCTGCGTTAATTGAATATTAAAGAGTATGAACAAGTCATAAAATATGGAAGACGGGAGCATATATGTCTCAATTGGCCGTTCATTTTCTGATGATATCGGTGTTTGATTTGCATGTTGAATGGTTTTTGTTAATTTGAGAGGCTGGAATGACCACATTTAGATGTGACATTTACGTATTGTATTGTTCTCGGAGATTTCTGATATTTTTGACTCTTTAGTCCAAATTGTACAAAAACTCCGTTAAATGAATAGTTACTCAAACTATATACGCGAATTATCATACATCGCTTATGAAAATTGATATGAAGCCGAATCTTCGTGTCATTTCGGTTAAGCACAATGCATGTTTTAGGAAGCGCAATGATAACAAGAGGCGCTTCTGTACAGGTACAAGAGAATGGTCCGATCTCTGACACCGCTGCAAGAGATCCGTAAGACATTGAAATTTTTTGCTTTTATTCAGACCACGGAAAGGGGAGAACTTTGTATGCGGGTGTTTTAGTTTTTTATCTTAAACATTAATAATTCAAATCATTCAGATTCTAAATTCTAACGTTCAATTTGTCCTTTTCTATTAATTTTCAAGAACAAAGGCATTAGGGTCAGCGTCGTGAGTGCCTGCAGTTGATCATATGAAGAGTTGCCTGTTGCATTTGATCTATAATTTACTGTAAATAGTTTGATTCCAAAATTATTATGAGGCTTGTGATTCTGCTAGAAATCAATTTGTAATTCATTTTTGTTCTGACAACTGTAACTGGGGAGGAACTTTGTCTTCGGGTGCGTTTTAGTTTTTTTCCCACTCAAAAATACTTACCACAAAGAATCATCGGAATGGGTCGAGTGATAGATAATTAAAAAGCACTTTCAGTCCTGATTCAAAATTTCAAAGACGTTTTCTCATTGTCGAGAAGAATCGGTTTAAAATTTTTGATTTTTAGTCACATTTCGAGCAACTAAAGCGAGCGCGCAGTTTTATAATAGGTTTCAACTAGTCGGCTTATAATTCAATTTAAATTAAATCTCTTTTCGAGTCTCTTTTAACGCCATCTTGGGAATAAATTTTTTATAAACAATATCAAGAAAATGTGCAAAATGTTAGAAAAAATTCAAGTGCAATTTTCGGGTTTTTTAAATATACTCTTTGACTTTTTGTAATTTTCTATTAATTTTTGAGGAAGCTAATTTCTAGATTTTCTTTCAGATCACCTCATCACACGACGAAGAAAGAAAGATGAAATTAAAAACAAGAATAGTGCAAGCAGCACAGAAAGATCTGACCACTATAAGCAAACTAAAAAAAAGAGCTTCTGCTTTTTTTGATTTGCTTCGTTTTTTGTTTGTGGTGTGACGAGAGGATCTGAACGAAAGACTCAGTAGTCAAAAAAATTAGTAAATTTGACAACAAATTTTCTCATCGAACAAATGAAAAAATATATAAGAAACAAAAAAAAACGAAAAAGAGATGCTAGAAGAAATTCGAAAACTAACGTTACTGGAGTAAGCTTCAACTTTCACGGCTTATTTCGATTTATAAGATTACTATGGGGGTTGCGAAAGTAGACGACAAGCAAATTAAACGGAGGTACTTAAAAGGAAATTAGACGATTTTGCAAAACTGCAATTGTGAGAAAATAGACGAAAGTGATCAAAATTGTTTGCAGACAAATTGCGTGAGAAAAATAAAAATGTTTGCAGACAACAGTTAAATTTCAGTGGACAAAAATTTTACAAGGCAATCATGCATAATTTTTTCAATTCAGAACTCTCCTGTAATATTCTGATTTGACATTTTATGTTCATTTAAACTAATTGTTTTGACAGGTATTGACATTTTATGTTCTTTTTGTATTTCTGAAACTTGATTCTTAAGAAAAAATTTTGTTGGCCCTTTCCTTTTCATAGCTTTTTCGTAGTGTGAAAAATGCCAGATCTGTGAAAAATAAATTTCGTCTAATTTGATTATCGTCTAACTTCCTAGGCCCCGATTACTATAATAAGCCTGTTCGCTTGCTTTAATTGCTCAAAATTAGACTGAGAATCAAAAACTTCTAAGTTTTTCTCGAAACTGAGAGAAATTTTTGAAATTTTAGATGCCGTTTAAATCACTACTGAGAGAGCTTTCAACCCGGGTCGAGTTGCTCACTTTATGTTTCGACCGTACGGACCGAAAACCGACTCGACCAAAACTCGGTATGCTTCGACCGTGCTCGACCTAAATTTCGTATGTTTCGACCGTGCTTGACCGAAAAAAACGTGCTCGACCCAAGCAAGATATGATTCGACCGTGCTGGACCAAAGAGGTATGTTGAAGAGGTTTTGACCGTGCTCGAGGTATCTTTCGACTGTGTCGAGGTATGCTTTGACCGTACTCGACCGAACTTTTATATTTTTCGACCGTGCTTCGACCGTATGTTTCGAATTTGTGCTCGACCCAAACCCCTATCTCGACTAATCTTTTTCGGTCGATCACTGTCATGTGCTCGCCTTTGAGTTTCGAAACATAAAGTGAGTACCTGGACCCGGAAATGATATGTCAATTGATCCAGTTAGATGAATGTTTTTCGTACCTAATTCTGCTTGGAAAACAAAAAAAGCTGAAGAACCCTCGAAGACAAAGTTCCTACCCATTTATTTTCATTGGAAGGAAAGACTGATTTTTTTATTGCACTACCTATTTTAAACGTGCGGATTTAGGTTTAAAAAAAGTTGCTTTTTTGTCTTTTGCTAAGAGTTGTGGCGGTGGAGCGTGAACGAGTGTTTGTCGTATTTAGTTTCGAAGTTCACCTGTATGTGCAGCTATCTTCATGCTAAAAACATTTGGATGTCCGAGTAAGCGGCTTTAAGGGTACATGGTCTGATGGGGTCGGTCGATTAATGAGGACAAAGAGTTTAGTAAAGACAAAGACTAAAGAATTTAACTTTATATGCAGTTTTTGCGCAATTTTGGCTTGCAGATTTTTCTCTTCTTTGCCTTATTTTGACGATACTTGCAGAAGATCCAATTTACGTGTCAAAAATGAAACTCCCAATTTAAAGAGCCCTACTTTTTGTAAAACAAAAAACTCGAAAACTGGGTAGTGTAAGATTTGAACTTTCTCGGACTTTTTTTGAGGGTCTAATAAAACTGTGATTTAATCGAAAAGTGTCGCTTTTTTAGCTCACAGCTTCTGAAGCAAAGCACAGAATTTACGATAAATCATGTCTTGAAGATTGACTTTGCTCACCGGCTTCTGAAGTGACGCCACTGAATCCGAACAGGCTAAAAATGAGAGCACTCAGGCTCAGGGTTGCAGCAGCTGTTAATGGTATACTCATTTCTCTGACTGGATATTTGAGTGAAGAGTTCAGTTCTCTGATTTAAAAGGACTATCGAAACTGATATCGATTGTGGGTTTTTTATAAAAACCCTTCAATTGCATCAAGTAGCTATATTTTGATTTGAGTTAAAACTTTAAGACCCAAACTATGCTCTAAACATGACAATTCGATCCCATGGAAATAATGACTTTAAGTAAGTAAATAAGAACAAGGATTTAATTTGGATTCAAGAAACTAGTTTCTCTAAAAAAACAATACTTTTGTAGTTTATCAAATTAAGCTTTCTAAATTGCAATGAATTTTTATGTGCAAGAAAAACGTCTACGATTTTTTTGTAACGAATATCGAACAAACAATAAAAGTATTTTGTTTTGAGGAAATACTTTTTAAGTTTTGAGTTAAATAATGACTGGTGAAGTTTTTTTGTGAAAATGAGCAGCAATTGTTTTCTTTTCTCGCTCTTAATTCTTCACTCTCTCTGTTTCTCTCGCAGCTCAACTGTCAATCAACACGCTCGTTGATATCCACACGCTGAATTCTGATTGGCTGAAATTCGCTTAAATTCACTTGCTATCTTTTCTATTTTCTACAGCTCAGATTTGAAGATTATCTTAACTTACGGATTCACGGATTCCTATCGCTAACATTAAGACAGGACGGAAATGACAACCAACGCAATAGTGCAACCGGATCTTGTTAACTATCCCCCTATGGATCAAATTAACACCCTCCCCCTCCCCCACAAATAGACCAAGTTAACACCCTCACCCAGCGTTGAATTTAAATTAAATTTGCTGCGCACTGTAAAACGCTCTATTCTGATCAGTTGAATGTTCGAACTCAAACCAAATTTCCTCCCCTTGGGGGTTGAGGGGGGGGGGAGTCGGAGGAAGATTTTAACTTGGTCCCATCCGTTTTGGCCCTATTATCCTTATTATTTTCTTAAAGCGCTTGATGCATAGACTAATTTTGAGTGAGAAGCGCGCGCTCGAAAAACCTAATTTTTGGGTCGAAATAATCGAAACATTGTTTTGAGCTACATCTGTATTCATCTCAAAATCTGTATTCATCTCAAAATCTGTATTCAAAATCTGCAAAACCTGTATTGATCTCTAAATCTGACAATTGTAGATCAAGTATTTCGACCCGTTTTCTCAAAAGTCTGCATGCTGTCTCGAAGCTTTGGAGAGCTGAAAAAATCAAAATGGTGGAACTAAAACAAAAACAAGGCGTATAAATATTTTAGAAAAAAACACTTAACCACCAAAAAAATTTTACAACCACCCACGTGGTACCAAAGTGAAAATTATTTCTGATTGTTTTGTGCTCTGCTCAATATCTCTATAAGCCATAGTCAAGATGCTCTGAAAACGCTGTTTTTCTTCATTTTGGAAATGTTTGTCGCGCTCAACTTTCACAGTTAAGGGTACAAGCAAAAAGTACAACCCAACAATGCTCGAAACGAAAACTTGAACTTTTTTCGCAGAAATATGGGATGAACCGTACAATTTCTCCCACAAATTCGGCTTGGAGAGATTAAACACTGGTTTTTCAGAATTTATTTCTGAGGGCAAAAAATATCTAATTATTCAAATAAATTAACCCTAGAAAACCTAATAAAATAAGTTTAGGTGTTTAACAGGGTTAAATAGCTATTCTACACCAGCAGATTAAGGGGGGGGGGGGGGTTGTTAACTTCTCAGAAGGGACTTAGCATAGTGATAAGGCATTCACTGTGAAATCATCATATCGTGTATTCGATCCAATGCCATGGCAATGATACTAAGTGAGGACAAGCTCTCACTTGACTGACCTTTAGCTACAGGTCTACCACAAGCTGACCAATTTCGGCTGCTGTAGTGGTACCACGTGGAAGTTCTAGACGCAAAAAAACTGAGTTGAGTTGCAAAAAAAAAGAGCTTCGCTCAAGAAAATATCAGAGTCTGGAATGTGGGGAGATAATAAAAATGGACTATCTTCGACAGGACTGTTGAAGCCTACTGCTGGCTCCTCTGCAAATCGAGAAGGAAACAGATTATTTCATATTATATCTAAGGCTCTTGATGCATATACTAGTTCTGAGTGAAAAGCGCGCGATCAAAAGAATTAACTTTTTGGTCGAAATAATCAAAAAACATTCTTTTGAGCGATTCACCTCAAAATCTGACAATTGTAGATCAAGTAATTTGACCTGTTTCTTGAAAAATTTGCCTGTTTGAAACTTGGGAGAGCTGAAAAAATCAAAATTCTGGGCCTGAAACAAAAACAAGTTCGTGTCAGGAGTTTAAAAAAAAACACTTAACCATCTCAAAAAATTTTTTCATCTACCCACGTGGTGCCAAAGTCTAACTTTTGTCTTAAATTTTTTGCTCCGCTCAATATCTCCAAAAACCTTAGCCACGATCTTCTGACTACGCTGTTTTTATTTATTTTAGAAATGTTTATCGCGTTCATTTTTCACAGCTAAGGGTACAAGCAGAAAGTACAACCCAACAGTGCTCGAAATGAGAACTTGATTTTTTTTTCGCAAAAATATGGGATGAATCGTACAATTTCTACCACATATTTGATTTGGGGAGAGAAAGCGCCAATTTTTCAGACATGAACTTTGGGGGCAAAAAAAATCGAATTATTCAAAGACATTAACCGAAACAAAATTATAAAACTAAGTTTAGGTTATGAACTGTATTATTTTGCTATTCTACACCAACAGATTTAGGAGGGGTAGGATGTTAATTTGGTCCCATCTATTTTGGCCAGTTATCTTAATTTTTTTCTGAGGAGGCACCTAGCATAGTGGTTGGGCGTTCACTTTGAAATCGTCAGATCGTGTATTCGATCCCATGCCATGCAAGGCTAGTATGTCAGGGCAAGCTCTCGCTTGACTTCTAGCTTCAGATCTTTCACAACCTGACCTATTTCGGCTGCAATTATAGTACCAGGTGAAATTTCCAGACACAGGAAAAACTGCATTGAATAAAGAAAAAGAGCTTCGCTCAACAAATTATCACAGTGTGGAATGTGGGGAGAGAATACAAATAGACTATCCTCAACAGAACTGTTAAGGCCTTTTTTTAGCTCCTTTGCAAATTGCAAGGAAAACAGTAATATTATGTTTTATATTTAAAACGTTTGATGTATAGACCATTTTTGAGTGAGAAGCGCATGATCAAAAGATCTAATTTTTTGGTTGAAGTTTTCGAAAAAAAACAAGTCTTTTGAGCTATTCACCTCAAAATCTGACAATTGTTGATCAAAAAGAATGACTTTGTTTTCTACAATTTCTGCCTGCTGTCTTGAAGCGTTGGAGCGCTGGGAAAATCAAAATTACAAAAACAAAAACAAGGTCGCGTAAAGACTCGAAAAAAAAACATTAAACCCTCTATAAAATTTCTACATCCACCCACGTGATGCAAAAGTGGCAATTATTTCTTATTAACTTTTGCTCTGCTCAATATCCTAAAGATCTTAGTCACCATGTTCTGACTACGCAATTTTTCTCATTTTGAAAAAAAAATTGTCGCGTTCAATTTTCTCAGTTAAGGGTACTGGCAGAAAATACAACCCAACAGTGCTCGAAACGAGATCCTGAACTTTTATATCGCAGAAATATGGGATGAATCGTACAACTTTTCCACAATTTTAGTTTGGGGAGATAAAACACAAGTTTTCAGAGTTTAACTGTGAGCGGAAAAAATAAACTAATCATTCAAAAAATTTACCCGAAGCAAATTTATTAAATTAAGCTTAGGTTTTTAACAGTGTTAAAGAGGTAAATTACACCAGAATATTTAGAGAGGGGGGATTTTAACGTGATCTCATCTGTTTTGGCTAATTATTCTTAATATTTTTGGAGGCCACTAGCATAGGGTTAAAGCCTTCACTTTCAAATCGTCTGATCGTTATTCGACCCCATGCCATGGCTCTGATAGCATGAGAGGACGAGCTCTAACTTGACTTCTAGCGTCAAGACTACCACAACCTGACCAATTTCGGCTACATTAGTGCTACCAAGTGAAACATCAAGAAGGAAAAAAAACCTGCGTTGAACCACAAAAAAAGCTTCGCCCAACAAAATATCACGGTCTGGAATGTGGGGAGATAATAAAAATGGACTAGTCTCGACAGGACTGTTAAGGACTACTGATAGTTCCTCTGCAAGTCGTAGGAAACACATTATTGGATTTTTATAGTGAAGATGCTTGATGAATAGACTAACTTCGAGTGAGAGGCGCGCGCTCGAAAGACCTAATTCTTCGGTCGAAAGAATTGGAAAACAATCTTTTGAGCTGTTTACCTCAAAATCTGACAATTGTAGATCAAGTAGTTTGACCTGTTTTCTCAAAAGTTGCCTGCTGTTTTAAAGCTGCGGAGAGCTGGGAAAATTAAAATGGTGGACCAAAAACAAAAATCTTTTCGAAAAAAAAACACTTAACCGTCTTTAAAAAGTTCTGCAACCATCCACGTGTATTTTTTTTCTAATTGATTTTTGCTCTGCTCAATATCTGTATACACCATAGCCTTGATGTTCTGAGTACGCGGTTTATCTTCATTTCGGAAAAATTTGTCGCGTTCAAATTTGACAGTTGAGGGTACTAGCAGAAGGTACAAGCCAACAGTGGTCGAAACTAAAAATGACCTTTTTTTGCAGAAATATGGGATGAACTGCACAATTTTTCTCACAAATTCAATTTAGGGAAATAAACACCGATTTTTCATAATTCAATTTTGAGCGCAAAAATTAATAATCTAATTTATCAAATAAATTAATCGAAACAAAATTATAAGTATAAGGAAGGTTAGGTTATTAACAGTGTTAATTGACTTATTTACACCAGCGGATTTAGGCGTATTTGGGGGGCGCAAATGCCAATATTTGGGGAACACGCGCCGAAAAAATGCGTTTCTTAGGTCATAATTTTCCAGCGCTTTTCCTCCCTTTTCTTTGAAAATTCTCTTGCGGCGCAGAATTTTCGGTCAAAAAATAGAATCTTTATAGTGATTTGCTATTGATTTAGAATATCAAATCGGTCGACATAAAAAAAAATTGACAAAAAAGTTGACAAAATCGACCTAGATCCGCCCCTATAAATCTAAATGAAAATTTTTCTGAAACAAGGTAACCTGCGCGCTTCTCGCATCTGAGAAAAGTGAAAACAAAAATCAAATTTATTGGGTTTTGTGTTTTAACAAGTTATCAGTATAAGCGAATTCCAGGTCGCGAAAAAGGTTTAACGTTCGATTGTAACCCATTTTTCATCAATTTTGCAATCCATTTAAAATCAAATAATTTTTTTTTCTTTTTTACTTTGAATTAGCGCCGTATAAAATTTTGGACGAATTTTTGAGTTTATCTAATGATAAAATCGGTAATTTATTTTGCCCTGGGGGTACGGCCTGCTCGACTTCTTAATCTACACTTACTCAAATTGCAAAACGTTTCAAACACTAACCTTTCCCCTCCCAACAATTGCTCCTTTGTCCCCTAAAAAACAACCCCCCGCCGTCCAACTGAGGAGCTT